CTGAAATTGTTACACTCAATCATGAGAAAGAGGACTAAATTTTAGATGACAAAATCAATGATTAACTACAAAGACATAATAAACCTTCTCTCCGTCATACCATCTTGAGGACTAAATTATTCAATTATAAAATTACTAAGCTATTCCAAATATGATTCATTCCGCCCACTCCCAAGCTCATTCACATTCGTTTAAACTTTAAATTAACCCAAAGATTATTAAGCAAGTCCTGAACTGAAGCAACGTACGTGTTAATAACCTGAAGAAGTGCTAGCAGTGCACTGACCCGAGAGAAGATGAAATCCATTCCCTAAGGGTTCGAACATTCAACATAGTTTCAGCTGTTGTAAAGGTCTTCAAAACTACCACAACTGCAAATATCAAAAGAATTATATATGCCACAAATATTTTTCAGAAACGGAATACTGCCACTCTTTTTGAGGGATGCAGCCTGCATTGTGGCATAGACAACATTAATTAAACAACACTATATTCACCCAATCCCTTCCCCCCACCAGACACTAGTTATGAACGGGCCAACCCTACCTCCGCCAATTTCCAAGGTTTCAGGCGTGGAACGTTGCTGATTTTCAGAGATGCCTTTACGTTGTTGATAAACGAGAGTAGCAAAAACCCTAGCTTGATGTATTTGCAGAGATGTCAGACCCGCTAGGACAAAAGAAATCTAAAAAAACAAAACGCCATCCAAGTTTTCCAAAAATCGGCCACCTAGGCGGGCTAGGCGGGTCCTTATTATTTTATTTTATAAATAGTATAGCCGGTCGGCTATACGCCTGGAATAATGGCCGCGCGGCTATACCTTTGAGGTCAATATGTCAATATTTATGTCTCCAATATGTCAATATGAAATAGAAATAACAATTGCCTACTCGACGAAGATCTATTTCCAGATCAGAAAGCAAAATTTCCTTGAGGGCATTGACAAGTGAGAACATAATTTTTTTTTGGCTTCTTATAATCCATACATAAACAATCTCTGAAAAAAATACCATCTTCTGCATGTTTTTGGTTCATTCTTGATAGCAATTGTCGCGCCAAGGCAATAGATATCCTCATGAAGGATCTCAAAAATTTTGCCAAAGGTAATGATGAGGAGCTGTTCAAAGAAATGCATCACATGTGTATGGGTTCAATCCAACAGGGATCATAAGGCACTCTCTATGTGTGGAGATATAATGTTTATGAGGAAGAATATGAAGAAAGAACTCAACTCAGGCAAATAATTGAGGCAAATCCAGTTTTCCGTGGCAAACTGAAGTATCCTAGCATCAAAAGTCATAGATATATAAACTCATTAACCAAAGGTAATGCTTCCTCTCTAGTTTTGGTCTTCCTTTCTATTTTGTGATTGCATATGTTCATACATATGCCTGTGTGACAGGACCCGCCCCAGAATTTCCCCTGAACCCGGGGCGGATCCCGTCTTGGTGCCGACATCACACTGATGCCGGGTCCACTTACTAAAAATCCAAGACATCTTACCAAAATTTTGACAGAGTCTCCCCTGTAAAATGTTCAAACCCAACAATATTCAACCTGCACAATTTACATCATAATATATTCCAACTGCCAGCATGCTTTTACATACAACAATCCAACATAAAATGGCCTCCGGCCTCAAGTAGCAGCCTAACATGGGCGATAACAGAGCGTCTACAGAATTTGTTTACAACAAACAGTGGAGTAGAAAAAATTTATACAGACCCTAACAACTGACGACAAGTTCGGAGCTCGTGACTTGCTCGAATGCCTCCAAAAGCAACTACTGTCTGGGGGGCGCAAAACAGAAATATGTGAGTGGACAAAAAATAAAGTTTGCACTTTAAATCAACATAATAACCCCACCATGTAAAAATAATGCTCTAGCATGCAGTTTCACAACTCAGAAACCAAAACTCAAACACAAAATCCCCAAAGTCCAAAACATCTCCACCTCTCAACTCCACAACTCATTTCCCCAAATATATGCAACTCTCATCAACCCGTAAATACCCATATATAAATATATATATCTAGGACTTTAATATAATATATACTTCTCTCCATACTAATGTACCGGGGAGACAATCCAACCGGGGGATTGTTAGCTGGTACGCAGGATTTCCGAACACTAACCCGCGTCCAGGGATGAGTAGTCCAACCGGGGGACGGAACTCCATAGCTCACACGCCGGCACTGCCAACGACACGTGTAGCTCACAAATCTCATATCAAGTCCTACGCGCGCAGACAGTATCATCACCCCACCGGCACTGCCAACGACGTGTGTGATGATACTCAAGCAATATACATACTCTCCCCATACGCCGGCACTGCCAACGACACGTATGGAAAGTGTCTCACACACCGGCACTGCCAACG